GAGGAGTTCCTGTGCAGAGCAGAGGCCTGCGGCAGGGAGCTGCAGACCATGGTCAACGTGTGTGATTTCTGTGAGCAGGTTGGTGTGAGACATTACAACAGTTATCAGTAAACATTCAAGTATTCAAGCTTCGTACAGCTAGTGCTTTTACCCCAAATAGTGTTCTGATCATTATTTGCAAATATAACTTTGCGCATTCATGCATACAGTATACTATTACTATAACCACTATACATCCTTGTTGCAGAATGATGCAGGGCCAAAAATAACCAATCACGCATCAATGTAACTGAAAAGGGTTTTCAAATACTTCTCTAAAAACAGTAATTCCTCATCAAATTTAGTACATTGAAGTATTTTTTAGTCAATACGTTTTTTGTTGTGGAGAAATCATGAAAATTAATAATTTGTTGTTGCCTAAACATTCCTTACTCTTTTAGGATGATTTCAAATGAATAATTAAAGGTCATTACTTAGAAATGAAAGCCATTGCAATGCATTTTTTGCTCTTTCACAGAGATGTAATCACTTTCAAGAAAGCAGTTTTTGTATGTGCTGTTTTATGATAGTGAAGTGCAATCCTGCTTCTTCTTCGCTGACATTTGTGTCAGGTTATAAAATGTATGTCTGTGGAGGGTAACATGATATTAAAGAAGTAGATGAGAGCATGAACATTTCTTATCATGAATAATAAAAATAACTTCTCATATCTCAAAATAGGCTAATGCTCTGGCCAGCGAATGCATTGAGTACCTGGACCAGACTCAATCCAGAATCTACCAAAAGCAAAACCGTGACCAGGATACAGCACCTGTCAATCAAGCCAACACTCAGCCAATACAGCGCCACAACCAAGACCCTCGATCGAGCACTGCATCCCTTTTCCCATCTGATGCATCCCACCCAACCACCACCAGTGTTATACCGTCCAGCAGTGACACCTCTGTCCTCCAGACCTTCCAAGACAGGTTCCTCCAGTTCAGCCCAGATACATTTCAGGAAGTGAAGGCCCAGGCCAGCGCCCTGAGGGGCTCCAGGGGGATGCAGGTCTGGAACGTAGCCTGGCTGCGATGCCAGGAGGCTGCAAACACTCCAGCCTGCCCATCGGGAGATATGAGGGGGCCTTTGGTTTGGCAAATCCACAGGAGAGTGCCAGCAATGCACTGTAAGTTTACTTCATGTGGGTGAAGTGTGCTTGCATTACTAATCTAATTAATCTGACTTTGTCTCTGCAAGATATAATTCTGTGAGTTGATTGACATGCCTTTATTTGACTAATGTTGTGAGTCTTAATGACATTTCATGCACTCTTTTCTGACTCTAAGCCTCCAATGAAGTGCTACAGGTACTGTTTTCTCTGCTTCTCTTCCCTTCTCTTTTTGCACTTGTCAACTTTTAGTTTTTTTCTATCACAGTGCATGGAGTAAGATTAAAAGGACAGCATGTCAATGTATCATCTGCTGAAACATTAAATTACTTTGTCAATATGCTTTCAATGCACGTTTAAAAAACTACGACTACAAGTACCTAATTCAGATATAACTAAATACCGGAAATCTGAGAATTCAGTATCAATTAGCTGTAAAACCAATCAAGGAGATCACAGAGTAACATTGTGAGAAACAATAATGTACAAAGCATTTGTGAGTGACATTAGTATTCACAGAACGACCAATATGAGAATTAAAAACATTTACTTATATGATTTGTTTTGTACAGATGCAGAGAACACATAAAATATCTATTCAACGGTTGAAGAGATACCATTTTTTATTTGCAAATACTACTAGCTAATAACATATTTATGAAGAATATGCTCTTGAGTGTCCTAGGTCTGAAGTTCTTTCTGTCTTGTTCCCAGGAGGCTGCAGCGTGTCCTGGAGGAGCTGGTGTTCACAGAGAGGGAGTACGTCCGCTCTCTGGGCTACATCCTGACGCACTACCTCCCTCTGCTGGACTGACCCGACATCCCCCAGGACCTCTGGGGCAAGAGAGGCGTCATCTTCGGTAACCTGGAGAAGCTTTACGACTTCCACAGCCACTATTTCCTGCCGGAGCTGGAGGCCTGCCAGAGGGAGCCCGCCATGGTGGCCCGCTGCTTCCTCAGACATGTGAGGAGTAACTCCACAACTGTCATAAATATATAACTGTATAAATAATTTGTTTGTGTATAATATTAGAAATTCTCATTAATATATATTTATTACATTACATGTCACTTGTTAGACGCTTTTATCCAAAGCGACTGACATACATTCAGTACTGTGGGCAATCCCCACAGGAGCACTTTGGGGTGAAGTGTCTTGCCCAGGGACACAACGACATGCTGACTACAGTGGGACTCGAACTTGCTATCCCCTGATTCAGAAGTTCAGCGCACTATCCCACTGAGCCACAGCCTTCCCATGAATTTATGAAGCAACAAACCTCTTGTTTTAGCTTAGTTTTTTTTATCTGATTGGGTTATTTATGTTATTAGGGTCTGAGACCAGAGGTCGGCAAAGACCCTATTCTAATTGCTCGCGCAGCGATAACCAACACAAAACAGGGAAAACGACGGACAAAAGCACAGAAAAAGTGCCAGCCTAGTGACATGGGCGCTTATTTTGACCCCGCAACATAATGTGAAAACTCACCAAATTGTGCACCCGCGTCAGGACTGGTGAAAATTGCGATGTGTAATTGGTTCCGGAAGTTTGCACACGCCCACTTCAGTTTTTAACGTAAACTCCCCCAACTTTCACGTAAACAAACGAAACTCGCTAGTATATCTAGGGTGCGGAGACGAACCAAAAAGCCTCTTGGAGGTGTATAAAAAACGTACAGGAAGTCTGCACCTGCAAGGTGAGGCCCCACACAGTCCGCGTGATCGGCCTGTAAGGAGGGACGGCCCTGGTGTTACTGCTCTAACTCCTAAAGATATTGTCCGATCGGCCTGAAATTTCCCACGTTTGCTAACGGCCTAACGGTTTATTTTATTTATTTTGTTTTTTAGTTTTAGTTTAGTTTATTCAAAACAAACTCCTTTCACCATCAGTTACCAACCTGGGTGTAAGATTTGACCGACATCTGACCTTTGACACCCACATCAAGCAAAACGTCCTTCTACCCTACCACCTCAGGAACATTTGCAAAACTCCGTCCACACTCTCCCTGTCAGACGCTGAGAAACTGGTCCATGGCTTTGTCTCCTCAGAAACTTAAAATGAAAGAAAATGATGAAATGACAAATAAATGTATGTAAAATGACAACAAAATGACAAAAAAGTGACGGGGGATGACCTACACTCACAGAAATAAATACATAAGATAACCACAGAGAGACAAAATTACCCAAAAGATAAAAATAAAAATGACTACAGAGACACAAAATCAATTATAAAGAGACAAAAGAAACTACAGAGAGTCAAAGGAAACTACAAAGAGAGCGGCACAATAAACTATAAAGAGACACAAAATGACAAAACATGACTGCAAAAAAACACACGTTAATAAACAACAAAGAAAAAATAATAGAGACAAAAAAATAAACTACGGTCACTAGAAAACCAAAGAAAAGGACTTCAAAGAGAAACAAAATGAAGACAAATAGATACAGAGGGACAAAGAGACACAACAAGACTTGAATAATAATACAATTATACAAAAATAACAATTATAATAGTAAAACATTTTGACCTGTTTCTAAATGTTATTATTAGGTCAAATATTTCTGAGTGTACTTTTACAACTTATTTTTTTAGATTGTTGTTTATGTTCAACACCAGGGACATGCACAGGTATGGGCTAATGTTGCCAGGGCAACGGCCCGTTTGTCCTTTTTGGCTGACCTGCCCCTCTGGGAGAGCGAGAGTTTATTATTTTGTGTTCTGTTGTGGCCGAATCAACATGATAAGCCCACAATTAGTAGCGTCTCGCTGCGGGAAACACACTTTGTCAGCGCCGTCATCTGCCGGTGCGTTAAGACCACCTCAGTGTCGGATTTTAGAAACTTGATTTTGAGTTGTCTCATGGCAGTTAGGGAATAAGGGACAAACCAGGGGACTTTACTTCCTCTTGATACCGTTGGTTATTTACAAAAAAACACCTAAATATAGCCTACTTGTTGTGATTTGGTGTCTTTTCATCTGTAAACTCCTTCAACGGGGCCGCTCGTTTTCTTTTCTTGATCGCCCTCTCATGGGTGAATACTTCACTGTCCCGCTTCATTGTAGGATTTCTGCCATGTCTCTACCACTTTAGTTTGACCATCTCTGTTATTAAGTTACGGAATACTAAATAAATAAGTAATTAGATACCTTACTTACTGCGCTCATAATGATAAGAATAAGAATAATGCGTATTGAACTGGTTTCATTAATTAGTGAGTTTATTTAAGTTAGCCTAATTAGTTAGAAGCAGGGGTTACGTTGGGATTTGATATGTGGGGGGGGCTCTGTGTGGAGGTGCGAGAGGGGGGGGGCGGAGGTCGAGGATCTCATTATTTGACCTTAGGGATATAGGCCTACACTGTGGCCCTAAGCAACTGCTCCATTATCTGTATCAAATACAGACATTGATGCCACCAAATGTCACAATAAAAATAGAAAGTAGCCTACTACAAATGAACTGGAATTCATTTACATCTTAAATTATGAATATATATATAGGCCTACTGTAGGAGCAAACACAATAGTGGTGGCTTAAAGCCCACCTCTGCTCCGCGCCGTCCTTTAGATGAGCCTGGTCAGATTTAATAAAAGGAGTTCAAAACACCGGCATAAAAGTTATAACAATAATCTGATTTTAATACAGTAAAAAACACAATACGAAATACAGAGTGCCCTGAAACAGAACACTCCGGGCTCCCCGCTCTACTGCCGTGCGATACAGATATCGGGACCAGCCAGTCAGAAACAGGGGGCATTTTGCATGAAGAAACAACAGTATATGTAGGAGCCAATTAAATGTGGGTATAAAGGTAGGAACCTATGTGTGTTGGTGAGAGGTTCCGCCGGAAGGCCCATACAGTTTTTGACCACACACAAGGAGCACACACACAAGGAGCACACACACACAAACACAGGATTAAAAACAAAGCAAAAGGTATTGTGTAAACCATAAATATCGTGTGGTGAATGAAACAAAGAAACCAGTAAAAAAGGGAAATAAATGGACTATTTCGAACTGGAAACGTTGGTTCTGACTTTTATTCGGCAGCAAACAAGGTGTGCGTCAATTACACCCACCAAGCGGATCCTCAGAGGCTTAAAGCGTTGGCTTAGCCTCTACATATAGTCAAAAACTAGCCTTTTTTGGAGTAATATAGTCAAAAACTATATGGAGTGACACAAGAAGACATTTTTTCGTTGCGTTTATCGGACGCTGAGAGCGGCTGCTCACCTTCTACCGGACGCCGAGAGGAGGAAAACAACACGCCGGCTGCTCAGCTGTTAGCAGCCACCTGACGCCGAGAGGAGGACGGCTACAACTCGTTTGCTCATCTGCTGCACAGGAAAGCGTCAGGAGCAACGAGCTGAATGGTGCCGGGAAGCTTTTCGCCGCTTGGCACGGAACTACGTTCATCTAAGGAGGTATGTGTAGCGCGCTACAACCGGTTTAAATGGCCATAGGAATTAAGTTGTGTGCACACATAAGGGGCGTAATTCCAATGCATTGGTTGTGAAAGGGATGAACAATAAGCGCTTGTATTGTACTGATTGATTTGTGACAATCCGTTTGACTTTAAAGACATTCAAATATGGAGCAGCGCGCTGCGGACATACCAGCAGCTGACAGAGCGTCAGATTACGCTCTGCCAGCAGCTGGCAAGCTGGATAGCGTGGCCAGCTGTAGTGATGCTCAAAGCACTAAGCAGGTAGTTAAACTCTCTGCCAAAGCACTTGCGGAAAAACTTGAGAGGTTGTAAAATGGCAGAAAGGCTAAGCTAAATAAAGCTAGCAAATTAAGAACAAATATAAAAGATTTTATGTTAAGTGGTGAACATGCTAAGGTTCAAAATGCTCTTGATGGTTATATTGAATTGTGTATTGAAGCCAGGTCTATGCATGACACTTTAATGGGTTTATTGCCACATGATGAAAGGGAAAGACATGAAACATGGTTTAAAGCCAAAATGATGTTCAATGATGAATTTATTGTCCAAATCAAGGTGTGGGTTTGTGAAACTGAAGGTACTGGTGATAATGATATCAATCCTGATGACAGTGTTTCTAATGTTGGTAAATCTTCAAACAAAAGTGACAGCAGTACAAAGTCAAGTACAACTTCATCTGCACAAATTATAGCAGCAGCAGAAAAGGCTGCAATTGTTGCTCGCATGGCAGGTTTAACTGAGAGGCATGCACTGGAGGAACAGGAGCTTCAATTAAAGCTACAATTAAAGCGGAGAAAGGAACAGCTTGAGTTGGAAACTGAGCTAGCTGTATCTACTGCTAGGCTAGCAGTTTTACAGGGTTCACATTCACGACGTTCCTCTCTTGCACCAACAAATGGAATGAACTCATACCTGGAAAAGGAAAAAAGGAGACTGGCATCGTTAAACATACTTAACCCCCTGGCAAAGGAGTATGATTCCACTTCATGGAAAATATCCTCCAGCAAACCAACAAAGATGGACATGGAACCAAAGCAAGCTGAAAGGCAGTTTGCATTTAAGGAAGATGCTTATGTACAAAATCAACATTATCTGGGAACATCACATGGGTTGATAACTGGTGAATCAACTGCATGGGAAGGTCAACAGGAAAATCACCATCAGCAAATCAATCGAATGCCACCTGAAGGTTTATTCACGATAATGCAAAAGCTAAATGAAATAACAGCTGCACTGGTTCACCAGCAACGTTTACTGTCTCTACCAGCAAGAGACATTCCTATCTTTGATGGAGACCTGTTTCAGTACAAGGCTTTCATTAAAGCATTTGAACAAGGAGTGGAAAACAAAGCCAGCAAAGCCGACTGCTTGTACTATTTAGAACAGTTCACAAAAGGACAGCCACAGGAACTGGTTCTTAGCTACCAGTACATGGCTCCAGAACGTGGCTACATTGTGGCAAAGAGTCTTTTGCAAGAACATTTTGGGAATGAGTACAAGATCGCTGCTGCTTACATAGGAAAGGCTCTAGCTTGGCCAACAATAACAAAGGCAGAAGATATTAAAGCACTACAAGCCTATGCTTTATTTCTGCGTGGATGTGCTAATGTGATGGAAGAACTTCAGTACATGCAGGAGTTGGATATGCCCTCCAATATGAAAATGGTTGTCTTCAAGTTGTCATACAAACTAAGGGAACAATGGAGAAACAAAGCTCATAACATCATGGAAGCCTCAAACAACAGAGCTCATTTCATTGACTTGGTCAAATTCATTGAGAGACATGTACGAGTCCTTTCTGATCCGATCTTTGGACACATCGAGGATTCAGGACATAAATCAGTTGCTATAAAATCTTCCAACATGTTTCAGCCACAATCAAAGAACAGAATGAAAGGAAGTAGTTTTGCCGCTACAGTATTCCCAATGACTGAGGTCAGAATTAAAACGACAAATAACTCAAACCCACAGGAGAGCTTGGTGTGTCATTGTTGTGATCACAACACTCACGTTTTGGACAGATGTAAGCAGTTCAGCAAAAGGAAGCACAGAGACAAAATTATATTTCTAAAGGAGAAAGGAATTTGCTTTGGATGCTTGTGTATTGGAGACATAAGCCGGGACTGTAAACAACGCTTGATCTGTGAGGTTTGTGAAAAGCAACATCCTACTGCGCTCCACATAAATACATCTAATGTGGAATTGGGACAAACCGCTAAATCACAAACCCCCCCTCAGACATGTGGACGTACAGTGGCTGGAAATGATGGCTGCATTCTTTCAATTATTCCAGTGCAGGTCAAGTCCACAAAGGGAAGTGAGATTAAACAGACCTATGCATTTTTAGATCCTGGAAGCACAGCCACATTCTGCTCAGAAGATCTCATGCACAGATTAAACATCACAGGAAAAATAACTAATTTTCTTTTGAAGACTATGGGACAGAAAAAGTTCGTTCCAGCTTACTCCTTATTTGGGATGGAGGTATCTGGTCTTGAGGAAAATAACTGTTATCCTCTTCCAGAAGTCCTCACACAGAAGCAAATGCCAGTAACCAAAGAAAACATTGCTACAGCTGCAGATGTGAAGAGGTGGACTCATTTGTCAAAAGTTCATATCCCCAGCATAAATGCCAATGTTGACATGTTGATTGGAACCAATGCTCCCAAGATATTGGAACTTTGGGAAATTGTCAACAGTTGTGGAAATGGCCCATACGCTATAAGAACAGTGTTGGGATGGGCCATCAATGGTCCTTTACATGGAAGCAGCAATGGCAGCGATGTTGACATGGAGCTTTCTTCTGTTGTGGTGAATAGGATTTCTATTTCCAAATTGGAGCTCATGCTTGGCAGTCAGTATAATCATGACTTTAATGAAAAGCCCTCAGAGGAAAAAGAGATGTCAAGAGGCGCTTTCACACTGCGGTACTTTTCCCACAAAGGTTCATGTGAACTCTTTTATCGCGTTCACACCAAAAAGAGCCGGTACTAAAATTAGTTCATGTGAACCTTTTTACCCCCTCGAAAGTCCCTGTTAGAGAGCAGGGACTTTCGAGCGGCTCTTTTGTGAGAAAAGAGCTATATTTCTGATTGGCTGGAAGGATTGCAAACCACGCCCCGCAAAACTCCCAAAAAGTTTTGTGAAGCCGCCATTTTATTATCCTCACATTAGCATTATTAGCATTAGCATTAGCCCAGCGTAGAAACGCAGAGAGACTAATTTATGGCAACACAAAATAAAACATGGGAGCGTTGGAGATGAGGAGGTGTCGGCGTTCTGGCGATTTACTCGGAAGGCTTCAGTAGAAGCTGCTGGGAGTCCCAGCAGCTTCTACTGAAGCCAGTCCCTAACTCCGGGGACTTCCGGCCGGGGACTCCGGGTGGCAGTATACGCCGTGAAGTGGTTTGCGGCCTGCCAGTAAACCCAAAGCAGAAGAAGAACAAGTGACGTCAGCGGCTTCATTTGCCTAATCCACCCCCAGGGACTTTTTACAGTGTGAACGCGATCTGTACTTAGTTCATGCGAACTAAAGAGTTCACATGAACTAAGTTCACATGAACCTTTGTGGGAAAAGTACCGCAGTGTGAAAGCGCCTAAGGGAAGACCAAAAATGTATGGAAATCATGAATACGTCTGCAACACTACAGGACAACAGGTACATCCTGAAGTTGCCCCTTAAGACACCTGACGTCCTTCTTCCAAACAACTTTGCAGTGGCAAAGCAAAGGCTACTTGGATTGAGGAAAATATTTGTGAGTAACCCAATGTTGCATAAGGAATATGCCAGCTTTCTGAATGGAGTGATTAAAAAGGGTTATGCTGAACAGGTACCAACACAGCAGCACTGTGGCAGTGGAAAATTATGGTACATCCCACACCACAGTGTTTACCATCCACAAAAAGGTTCTCTCCGAGTGGTGTTTGATTGTGGTGCCACATTTAAAGGAACATCATTAAACAATGTACTTTATCAAGGTCCCAATCTCACCAGTTCACTGCTTGGAGTTCTCACTCGTTTCAGGCAGGAACCTGTGGCATTCATGGGCGATATACAGGCTATGTTTCACCAGGTCAAAGTCACAGAAGAAGACCGAGATTTCCTTCGTTTTCTCTGATGGCCAGAGGGAGACTTCACCAGAGAGATCCAGGAATACAGAATGACGGTGCATCTGTTTGGAGCTGTCTCTTCTCCCAGTTGCGCTAGCTATGCACTAAGGAAAACTGCTGACGACAACAAGTCTGACTTTTCTGCTGAGACTGTTGACGCAGTTAAGCGAAATTTCTATGTGGATGACTGTTTGATGGGTTTGGGCTCAGAGAAGGCAGCAATACAAATGGTTGAAGGTCTTAATGCTCTCTGTAAAAGAGGAGGTTTTGTGCTGGAAAAATGGATCAGCAATAGTCGGGCAGTTGTGCAGACAATCTCGGAAGAGCAGAAGGCTAAAGAGCTAAAGGACCTGGATCTGGATAGAGACAATCTTCCTCTTGAAAGAGCTTTGGGACTACTCTGGTGCGTCGAGTCAGATTCCTTTAAATTCAAGATGGAAGTGAAACAGCAGGCTCTAACCAGACGTGGCATGCTAGCCACATGCCACTTTTGCAGACGTTACAATGGAAGAGCTATGGAGCAAAAAATGGCAGATCTTCCAAAGGAGAGAATTATTCCAGATCTACCTCCATTCACCAATGTTGGAGTGGATTATTTTGGACCTGTGGAAATCAGAAGGGGCAGATCTACTTGCAAGCGTTATGGAGTGATATTTACCTGCTTAACAAGTACAGCAGTTCACTTAGATGTGGCACCCTCTCTTGACACTGACGCATGCATAAATGCTATAAGACGTTTCATCAGTAGAAGAGGTCAAGTTGTTCATATGAAGTCAGACAATGGAACCAACTTCATTGGAGCAGAAAGAGAACTAAGAGAGGCCCTCGCTGCATTGAATAATGAGAAGATTCAAGGAGCTCTAATTT